TGAGAGAAGCATGGCTTTGCCTAGGGTCTGTGGCACCCCTCTGTAATGCTGTGGCAATCACTGAAAGGCTCAGAGAAGGCCAGTCAGTCGCTCCCATTGATCCACCCCACCATGCTAAGGCAAGGGTCACCGTGTCAAATTACAGGCCACAAACCGAGGGGAAGGACGTATGTTGAGTGCTGCATGTGGTTAACCTGTGGACCTAACCGCTGCAGGATTCGGGGGGGGGGGGGTTAAAAAACCACAAAGGATCAGAGACATTTAGATTCACATCCTATCTGCCAGGAGAAGAGGTATGGAAGCTAGCAAAGCTCAATCACTCAGGAAGTGGTGGGTCAGGGAGACTTTTCCCCCAATGGTATCGTGTTGCTCAGCTAGATGTATGGTGGGAGGTGGGGGTGCCATGATCCCCTCTTAGCACCTAGCATTGGCCACAGTGAAAGGAAGCATCCCGGACTTCATAGACACAATGGGAAGTGACTGTCTAGGAAGGAGCCCTGCAGAAAGGGATCTAGGGGTCAGAGTGGAGCACAAGCTAAATATGAGTCAACAGTGGAACACTGCTGCAAAAGAAATATGCATCATCCTGGGATATTTTAGCAGAAGTGATATAAGTTTAGTCCCCTTACTAAAGGTGCCTCTGCTTATTTTCTGGGAAGACCCTATATGCTGCAATCTAGCCACACAGACTACAATTACCATGAGCCCTGGGGGAAAACAGGAAGGAAGTGACTTCTGTTTTGGAGATCTGGAGTCTCTCCACTTGTGTGGAGGAAGACTGAGCAGTCTGTGAACTCTTCCCTATGTTTTTGGAGCACAAAGGGAGCCAGGCTGCTGTGGAGGTGTTTGATCCAGTTCAGGAGCTGTTATGTTGCAGTTACAGACTGGGACAGCAAGCCTTTGGAACTGGGATATATCAGGCTGCTTCCAATTGCCCTAGAAGCATCAGGGTCCCTAGCTGGAAACCCCAGTGCCATGTTAAATTATTGCCCTGCCTGCTAGGGGGCTCGAGCTTCTAGGAACTGTCCGCTGAACTGTGACGTAAGGCAAGCTAGACGGGCTCCAGTCTGGGATGTGGGCTAAGACGGACCATTGGTCAGCTCTGGGACCAGCGGTCTGGCGGGAAGAAGGGGGGATGCTGCCGTTGTTGGACCATCGTGCCGTTGATTGACGCTGGCCAGCCCAGAGGCCTCTCTGCCCATCCTTGTTTTGCGGCAGAGGAGGCTGCGCGACAGGGCACGACCCTAGCGTGGGATAGGGATGTAAGCGACTAGTCGACTAGTCACTATCCAATACACGTAAACTTAGCAGATCGACAACTAGTCCCTCGACTAGTCGCTTCCCCCTCCCTTGCTGCCTCCATCGGGGGGGGCAGGAGCTGGTGCTGGGGGAAGCCGGATGAAAAGCTGGTTCTCCTCGTCACTGCCTCTGTGGGGGGCAGAGGAGGCAGGAAGGTGGCAGGGACCGGGCATGAGCTGGGAATCAGCTAATTCCCAGCTTGCACCCAGTCCCAGCGGCTGCGCTTCTGCTTTTTAAGAGTCTACCAGCTCGTCATACATTTACAAGGCAGGGCCGCAGCGGGGTTACTCCTGGGGCCGGGAGCTCATCCCGCTGCAGCTCCCCTGCTTACTGACAAATCGACTGATCGATAGAAATTCCATCCATTAGTCAATTAGTTGATTAAGAAGCTAAATGTAACATCCCTTGCGTGGGACGGCACCGGCGTGGCTCACCGGCGAATGCCCCACCCCCTCGGGACACGGAAAGGATTCGCCAGGCAGTGGCAGCTGGTAACACAGAGCCACCGCAGGGGGAGTGATGGACGGATGGGGACAGGGGATTCCTCCCTTCTACAGCAATGCTGCATGCGGGCTGCCCCAGGTGTGACAGCAGCCACGAAAATAATGGCCTCTACGCACAGCCTGTCCCCACCCCTGCAACCTGCCCCCTTGCCTTGTTGATCAGTATCCTATGTCTATAGCTCCTTCCCTCCCCAAACCTCTAGTCCTGCAGTGCAGGGCTGGAGGGAACCTCCGTAGGCCATCTTGCCCAGCCGCCTGCATGCCAGGCAGGATTAAGGAACCACTAGATCTTCCCTACCAGGTGCTTGTCTCACCCAGGGGAGGGCAGCAAGAAAGTGACGGCCCACCAGGCTTAGCCACGATGTCTACCTGCACCTCCGCAGGTGTCGGGCCAAGCGCTGACCAGGACGCCACTTCCCGTCTCTCCCATTGGCCACCAACGGCGATCCGCGGCCAATGAGCGCAGCGATCGCCTGAGACCGGCAGAAGCACAGGTAAACACAGAGGTGGGGACCGCCAGGGGATAACCCCAGCAGACCGGATCCGGCTGGTATTCGCCCACCGTGGCTCTAACCTGATCTTAAAATCCTCCAGTGATGGAAATTCCATAATCTCTCTCTCCGCAACGTGTTCCAATGCTTGTCCAGCCAAAGAAGAAGTTAACCCTTGCTCCAGTTCCAGCCCATTGCTTCTCGTCCTGCCCTCAGAGGTTAATGGAACAATTTTTCACCCTCTTCTTTGTACGTCCCATCTTTCCTACCCACCCCTGTCTCTCGCCGCTCTCGTGATTGACATCTGCACAGATGTGAAAAAAGAAATCTTAAGCATGCCTCTTTGTCGGTCACGCGGGCTTTCGGCAACGCGGAAGGGGTTTCGACGGAAAACACTGAATCCGAAACAAAATCTCCCCCTCCAACATTTGGGGTTTTTTTCATCGAAACGAAAAGCCTCGTTTTCCTTTGAATGGGAACACAATGAAAAGAAAAATCGGCCTCCCCCGCTTTCTCCCACGGAGAAGAAAGAGGAAGAAAAAGAAAAAAATTGAAATCGAGGGTTTGGTTTGGATAAAAAACTGGGGGGAAAACGCTGAAAGAATTTGAAATATTCGCAGGTTCTCTTGCTCCTGGCTGGCCTGTGCCGCACGACACAACGACGCCCCAGAGCAGCGCACGTTCGTTTATTTGCGTGTCACTATCAACTCACTATCAAGCTTTGGCTTGTCTCGCTCCACTCACCTTGCTTTCGGTGAGGGTCCTCCTTGGGAGGTCGAATCTTGCCCAGCTTCATTGCCGAAAAGACTCCTTTCCCGGCTCTGCAAGAAGTGCAGGGGAGAAGGCAGAATTCATTGAGTGCGGGTATTTTTGAACCAAGCACTTTGGGGTGCTCCCCCACCCCCGGGATTTTCATCCCCTGGTCTCAGAGTGTTTCACAAAGGAGTCCAGGAGCATTAGCCCCATGTCACAGCTGGGGAAACCGAGGCACAGAGCAGTGATGTGATTTGCCCCGGGTCGCCCAGTAGAGCAGGGAACAGAATCCAGCTCTTCTGAATCCTAATCCAGTGTAATATCCACTAGGCCACGCTGCCTCTCTCGCTAAGCAGCCGTGCCCCCGACTAGGGTGAAATCGCTGGTATAATTTTCCACTCTGAGTCTTAAATAACAATTAGCCTCTCCAGACTAGAGCCAGAATACCCCCCTTTCCCCCACCAGGGGCTACAATGCTTGGCTGAAATGACGGTAAAACGTGGGTAACAGTGACGCGCCACGGGCTCTTTCAGCAACATGACTTGTTCCCATAAGCTTCCTACCAGCCCTGGGCCGGCGGCAGAAGATTTGCCAACTCAAAGGGGCCAGGCAGGCCCTAGGCATCACCGACATCCCACATCAGCTGTGCTTGGTGTGACGGCGCGTTGGGGTTTTCCCATCTCCTGCACCCCCGTAGTGGCACGGACAGACCCCACCAGCCAGTAGAATAGAGGGAGTTTATTGCTTCTCCAGGATACAGCACAGCACAGATGTCATCTGGATACAGGGCAGGCCTAGGATGCCTCAGCCCCCCTCGAGATGGGGGAGCCTGGGCCCCTAAATCCCAGCCCCTTGCTTAGGCTGCTTCCTCCATGATACCAGCCAGAAACCTAACCCCCTCACTTCCAGCCCTGCCCCCCAGCCAGGGCTCCACTCCCCTTCTTCCCATTGTTCCGCTCCCTGGGAGATAACTCATCAGACAGGTTCAAAGCCCCCTTGCATAATGACTCATCCCCTGCCCTGCTGGGCCGTGCTGCAGCCAGCAGCCAGTGGAGATCACTCACAACCCACTGCCCAGCATAGCAACCAGCAAGGTACCCCCCACTACATCACACTTGGTCTCTGCACTGAGGGAACTGTCACCCGGAATAATGCTGGCTGCTCATTGCGAATATTCGCCATCTGGCGCCGGATTCGCAACCGGGGTGAATTGCCCTAGAGCACCATTCTCAGCAATGGAACTACTGCTATTTATCTCCACTGAGGAGGGCTGGTCCCTGAAAGCCAGCTTTGGATGGGTTACATTGGTCACATGGTGTTATCAGGCTGTCGGATTGGAGGAAAGTGTCTCCGGTTTCTGGCTCTCAGACTCTCACTTCTGGGCTCCCACTTCACTCGTTCACAGTCGCGGCTAACCCAGCACCCCCACCGACATCCCTGCCGAAAATGTGCTCACTAGAACACTGACTCAACACTGCGGCTTGATAAGGGCCTTTAAAATGGGGATGGGGGTATTCTGGAACCTTGTGTCGTAAACTTTAAAGCCAGAAGGGACCATCGATGTTCATCTAGTCGGACTTTTTGCACATCACGGACCACAGAACCTCACCTGTCCTCTCCGGCGACAGATCCCTCCCCTCTGGCTGCGTTTCTGATGTCCTCAGCTCATGGCTTAGACGTCAAGTTACAGACAATTCGCTATTTACACTAGTTTAAAATCTAGAAGTGACCCATGCATGCCCCAGGCTGCAGAGATAGGCGACCCCTCCCTCCCGTCTCTGCCAACCTTACCTGGGGGAAAATTCCTTCTCCAGTCCAAATATGGTGGTTGGTTAAACCCTGAGCATGTGGCCAAAACTCACTGGCTAGACACAGGGGAAAGAATTCTC